TGACTAGACAAGGAGCGTACTCTGACTTGGTTCCTAGTTGAATTGTAGTCAGATAAAAATGAGACGATTCTAATCTGAATAACTTCGGCTAAGTTGAAGTAAAACGTAGTTAAATTATCCTGAATTCGAAAAGGTAACGATATTGAAATAAACAGGATGATGGACCACCCTCCAAATTATGTAGCAAACTATTTTCACTATTGGTAATGATTTTTACGTACACATCATTTATGAAGTTTCGTTTTAAATGAATTTATACAGCTTATCTCGCGAAAGCTCTCAAGGGAATGGAAGAAGGTAAATAAATAATATCCCGCTCGAACGGCAAATCTTAGGCCACGGAACGGCAAACTGGTCACGTCGAAGTAGCATTTTATTTAGGTCAAGCACCGTTCCAGAAGCATTAAGAAGCCTCTTTCGTAAACCTTCCTAAGATATCGCGTTTCGTCTGCGATTGGACACCATATTATACAACGCCGTATCAAACCGAGCCACACTCTGAGGCAATAATAATCACATAGTGCGTATCGAGGTTTTCATTGGTTGTGCGTAAGCACCAGAGCTGCTACTTGAAAAACTAATCGCTTCTAGAACAGTCGTTTCGAGTGTTCTGCGTTCGTCAAATTGCTAATAACTTCGGGGATATCGATCAACAAAGATCCACTGTACTCTGGATGAATCTGACCAGAAGAATTCAATATGTCTGCCTTCAATTTTCATTTTCCTGCATTTCTTTTCCAGATATTAAATTTTATTCGTCAACAAATATCTTGTAATTTATTCCAATGATTTCTAATGGGACAGCTGGGCCAGACCGTACTTCAGATGACGACCAGGCCCACTTCGACCCTTATCTAGTTAATCCAAGGATTAGCACTTAAATTAGTACTAAATACATAAAATATTCCCATTAAAATGTAAATTAATGTATAGCTTCGTGTTCATACCTTTTCCGTCGGAGTATCGTTATGAATATAAAGGGATGTTGCAGGTGGAAAGAAGGAAGATAAGGTCGAGGACATCGACGACGATGACGGTGAGTTTCGGCGAGTGGCGTCCGTACGTATACATTGTAACGAACGAGTATTTTCTGCCGAGCAGAATACAAACTGCACATTGGCTACCCTCCCCTTTATACCGCGTGGCTCGTTCACCCTCGTGCACGTGCAGACACATTCGCGGGGGTGGCTTCGGATTCGCCCCCGAAATGAGAGTCTGTTTTAGTGTCGCGAACGTGTACGTCGGTGGCATCTCTATCTCCTCCAACGTTTTCTCTCCCGGTTCCTCTTCGTTCCCTTTTTTCCACCACCGTTACGCTATCGTTCCGTCGCTGTATCACACTCGCGCCCGTTTTCTGTCCCGTATCTTCATCCTTATCCGTGGTGTCCGCAAGGCACGTTCTCTCGGAGCGCACGGAAACGAGGTGCAGGCTGTCGTCCCGACTGCGCCTGCTTCCTGGCGGAAACGCGACATAATGCGCCTCGTACCGCACCCCAACGATGACCAACGTGCCGTGAAGAGGGCATCGGCCGCGATGACTTTTTAATCACGACGCACGCTGCAAGTTCACCCCTCGAAGCGCGGTTTCCACTTCTCAGAGGCTCTCAACGCGGTCCATTGTCGCTGCATTCAAACCGGTCTTAAGGTTACCTCGGGAAATACATATTCAAAGCTCTGGACGCTGGTAGATACGTAATTTTTAATATAATATCGAGTCCTTCGAATTCTCAAATTCCGGTATACAATTTTAATTTGCATAGTCTAGATTGCTAAGTTTAATTTAAAATCCTTTAAAAAGCCAGCATCCGCCATTTGATGTGTCTCAACCTAATGCCATAACGATTATGAATACTTGTTGCTTACGTACATAAATTGCAGGTAATTGGGCTTGAAACGACGGCGGAGGTACGAGGGCTCATTGAAACGAGTTTCAAGTATTTTATAAGAAGAGCGACGTAAGTACAGGAAGATATGGAAATTTAAAGACTAGTGCGGCAAAGATTAAAGGATCATTCCAAGTAGTTTTGTAACCACTCACGCTACGTCCATCTGTTTCAGATAAGAGGAGGATCGGGGTATTAAAGACAGGAAAGTTCAGAAATTACTGAAACACCGATGGCCATCCTCCTATTGCTGTTCGCTTCGAGTGCTTTTCACCGATTAGTGCTGCTGCCTTTGACCGAGAAAACGAGAAACCGTATAGCCGGACTGTTTGAAGGGTCTTGAGTGAATTCAGGACGACAACAGAATGGAATGCGAGGTAAGTTTGCTTCCTCGACGCGATTAACTACGGTACTTTTTCACAATGATACTTTCTCTTCGGTCAACTTGTAACATACGTTCAAACGATACTACAATGACAACGTTAATGCGAAGCAAGTGTGTCTAAATTGTTTCGTTGACAGAGATAACAGTTAGGTTGGAAGGGTCGTTCTGGTACTTTAGCGTACCGTAGGTAGTAGCTGAATTTGATGATTTTTGAAACATCAAATATTTTAGAATTATTTCCAACATAATTGCTTTTATTCCTTGAATTTAAATACTTTATCCATTCCAAAGTATTCTAATTGATTATTTCTGTAAAATTACTTGTAACCATAAAACGAATCCTCGAACTGTTATCTATGGTGAAGGTGCTTTTACCATATTTTAATAGCTAACTCTTGTAAGACTAGCGCATAGCCATAAAACGGATACTATAATTGCTGTTCATTTCTTCGAATGGTGTATTTTATAGTTATATCCGATGTTTTAATTGCTTATTTATGTACGATTAACATGTCACGATAAGAGGAACCGTAGATACGCTGATTCTACCTACTTTCCAAAATCAATTACCTTATATTTATGAACTTTAAAATATTCCAAGTATCGTTGGGATTAAAAGAATTTCTCCCCTCAATTATTCAATTGCATCAAATTCGTGATACTAGTTATCAATGGCCCCCAGGGTATTCAAGCTGATAATCATAAACGGTACGTAAATAGATCAAGAACAGTACAGGAACAGAGGATTCCTAGAAAGGGCAATTGGTGTGCTATTCTCGAACATCACGGGAAATGCAAGTACCTTTATACAGAATCGCAAATGAATAATTCGTTACGTGTCATGACGTCAATATGAAATTTGCTATCAAAATTGTCAGTTCGTCTAAGCAAAATTAGTAGACACTCAAAACTATGTAATACCATCCCTTTGATGCGTTCTGTTTGCAAATCTGATTAATAGACAAAGCAACATCGATTACAGAACACGTTTCCATCGTGCAATATTGTTCCACCGGTATAACAGGCAATAATCCTATATTGATTTTGCTGTCTCCCTTGTTTTACCACTTTCTCGTTGTGTACCCGTGATTTGTCCGCTTATTAGTTACACGATTAGGAGGTTGCTGCAGCATTCGATTTAGTATACGCGCAGAGGGCGAACAGGCCGAACGTATGTTCCAGGATGTAGTCTATAATCGCTTCCTGTGCTAGCGATTGGACGGTAGCAAGGGGTCGATTGTACGTATCCGTCACGTATATACACGGGGGATGTGTTTCAAGGGACACAATCGATTCGTGGATCGATATTTCCTAATATAACTGCTTCGACTCAATCATATTTCGTTTCAGTCGCTTTGCTCGAACCGTATCCCATTCTGTCTTCGACTTGCACAGGCAAACGTTGTTTAAAGGAAATGGAAGATTGTTGGATACTTTATTAGAAACTAGCATTCTAAGAATACGTGATTCGATTGAAAGAGAAAAGTTCTTTCTTGGTATCCGAAATGGATTGCTCCATAAATTCTATAAAAATGATATATGACTAGTATTTTCTTTAATTGATCTATAAAAAATCATGTACCCAAAGAGATATTTTGGAAAAATTCCTCTGAAGAAACCTAAATAATTTTAGTAAGAAATAGGGTGAAACTAATTATTAATCACTGTATTTTGATGAAAATTAATTGTCAATTAATCCTCGGTCACTGAATAGCGTCGTAGGTGGTCGACACAGGACAATTTTACCTATAATGACACTTCCATTATGAACATCATCTTACATGTTTAGTATGGAGAGGAAGGAAATTAATTTGAGAAATGTAAATTTCATTTACACACAGATATCCAATATATTTCTCATTTACTACATCCATATATTTTACATTATATGTATAATGATAATATCACAGATAAATTGACGCAATCTTCTTATCGTCTTAATGTTTCCACTTTTTGCAGTCGAAGGTCCAATTCAAGAAATAATTTTCGATGCTTCGTCGTTTTTGAGGCAATTTATTTTCATGTACGATTGGAAATAATTTGATCTTTGCTGTTACCAATATTATGATCACTTTTTAGTACAGGAAATACATCGTCCTCGGAATCTTGTTAATCAGGTTCATTATCGCTAAACGAGGTAGCATCTTCATTAGATGATGCTCCCTCGTTATGATTATATTCGACGTTGGAAAATTCGTTAAATGATGTCATGTTTTTATATTTTTCCATTAACTCGATACACCAAACACAGCAAGCAAAATATTAAGGTATAATCAAATTTATCTTCACTTTATTTATTAATAAGCTACATGCCGAGTTTTACGGTAACGATACTCATTCAATTATTTGAAATATATTCAAACGCATTCGGGTTGTTTCATCCGTAGATAGAAATTAATTAAAAGAAAGTTAAAGGGGTGAAGGTTAAATAAGCCCGCGGAATTTTGCATATTCCCGTGTACGTGTAATTCGAGTAGATAACGAAATGAAGGAAAAACAAAAAGATAGATTCGCTGCCGAAATCCGGTCGAGTGTCGAAGGGGCGCAATGGAGGGATAAATGGAAGGGCAAGGGAAGCAGGGGCGAATCAGTGCGAATGGAAGTGGACGTTAGGTCGACCGATCGTCCTCCACGCGTCCGGCAGTCGGTGGATGAGTCGGAGCCTCGAAGATAGCCGAACGTCCACGAATATTACCGAAGCGACGAACCCTCGGCCCTCGGCGGAGCGTCGCCCCACCACATCCAGTCGTACTGCGAATGCCACGTTGTGAGCTTCGTATTCGTGGTATTTCGGGACTTTTCACTCGACCAGTGAATCGAACATCGTTGTCACTATAGTGTATTTGTTTCGCCAACGAAATCCGTGCAACGGAACGTCGGAGACTGAGTTATAACGTTCCGGAAAATTGCAATTTCCACGTCGTTTCGCCGGTAATTTTCAACGGTGATTCTCGCTCCGGCTGTCGTTCGTTTTCCCTGTTCGGTCTATCGGAGTAGCGTGTGCCCACGAGAGGGGAAAGCATCGACAGGCATAGGCACCTTGATCGTGTGTTTTCCGTTCATTTTTTAAATAAATAAATAAAAAAAAAAAGAAAAAGAAAAAGAAGTAGAAGAAGAAGAAAAAAGAATAGTGTGTACAACGTGTGAAAGCGAAGGAATCACGATGCGACAACACCGTGAGACGCTCCATTTGCAGTGGCAGCGGCAACAGGAAGGACAAGACGTCCGAAGAGCAAGATAGACGAAAATAGAAGGAGGTAGTACAGAGAAACGGACTGGCTACGAAGTTAGACAGGATTTACCCGAGGACGAGTAACGAGACGTTGTTCTCTGAAACGTTTGAAAGGAGCGCGCGGTTTAGCGAACACTCGTTTGACTGGTGACACCGTTTGTTGTTTACCAACGTCAGTGCGGTTAGGTTCCTAGCGTGTATTACTTAAGGAGACGGAGAAGGAAGCTCGTATATATAGAGTCGAAAGGATAAGAGGGACGAAAGAACGCGATCGCGTTCGCTGAAGGTACCTACATACATATAAAGAGAACGCGTGCTCGCTAGGTAAACGGAAAAAGGAGCAAGTTGGGAAAAAGAGAGGTAAGCAATAACGGCAAGTGGGCGCGCGAGATGCATTCCAGATGAACGATGACGCCGCACAGTCTGTAAGACTCGCGTGGTTTTCACATTGTATCGCGCTTATCCGTCATTCTCGTGTCAGGACGTATCGACGATCGTCGGGCGGGTTATGACGCGCGCTTAACGCGCTTCGTGCACGAATAGAAGCGAGCGTGTGTCGATCGTGTACAACATGGAGTCCGACACGGCGACCGACTGGTCGTCGACGAGAAAGGACTCCCTCGAGACATCGATGCCGAGGAAATTCCGCAAGGAATCCTGTCGAACGGGGGGTGCAACACTCAATTGGGCGATGTGCGCCCTCTGTATCGCCAGTTTCGCCGTGTCCGGTCTGATGATGTACAGGGAATTAGGCTTGGAATCGCGAATCGCCACTCTGGAGGCGCGTATCCAGCATCAAGAAACACCGGACGTTCTTATCCAGAGGCTCAGGAGGGAGGTACAACAGCAGATGGAGGTGCACCGATCCTCCAAGGATTCGAACGTTTTTCGGAGCAAACGGGAAACGTCCGACTGCAATTGTCCACCAGGTATGTCTTCCACCACCAGTTTCATTTCAACCCCTTATCTTATGATTTTATTAGTAATCGGCACTGGTAGAACTAACTATGCGGTGTTGAAATCTTAAAGAAAATGGAGAAAGTTGGTAATTAGAATTAACTGCAGAGGAGAGGGTACGAATATGGGTTACCCGTTTTATTTTTAAATGTAGAGAGTCTCAGAATAGTCATAAATAGGAAAATTAAACAGAGAAATTTTGGGAATTTCATGGGGAATGTGCTGTTTAAATATAATATAGACTTTCCAAAACTTCTGTTTTTTTTTTTACTTTTTATAATTGATGGCAAATTCGGGCTGATAGAAATTTCGATAGTATTATGAGAAACTGTTATTTTTGAGAAAAATAAAATTATAAAACTAAGAATAATAGCAAATTATTGTTAATTATGTTTTGTTTAACAAAACAGATGGTTATTATAGGAGAGTATTTTATTTATCGTAATACTTGATCTACAATCATATTCGTACCTTCTCTGCTACCCCTACTTTGTATGCTACAGCCTGTTAAGTTCTTAAGTTTCGCAAAGCGAATTTATTTGCATTTATCGAATCTGGTAAATAATGGCCCTAAGTTACCTAAGGTTACATTTAAACTATAACTTTCATCGCTATAAGGCAAACGGTCGAAGTACCTTCGGTTTCATCAACAACTTTGCCAAATGTCTCTTCCTGATTATTCTTTGGTATCCATTTATCTTCTTCCTGCGCGTCTTTTCGTAGTCTTTGACACGAAAAAGGGCGCGTGGTAGGTACAAAAGCTGGGATGCCTTACCAACTCGTTGAATTGTAATCGCTTGCATGTGTACGTGTACATACACGGGCGGAAGTAAGGGGGTGGAAAGAAAGTATGCGTGGAAAGAAGAAAGAGAGATCTTTGTCTCGAAACGGAGCAGCTTCGGCCCCGCGGACAAAGGGCCCGCGATCTTGAGAATTTCGATCTTGAGAATGCTCGAGAGAGCGAGTCTTGTTTTTCAAGATCGCCCTGCCCTTTGCACCGCATATGGAGAGAGGCCGCTCAAGAGTGAACTAGCGGCTTGACAATTCAAACTCCGCTGATATCTCGCGAGGAAGCTCCATCTTCTGTGTGCTCTTGCATTGCTCTCGCCACTGTGCAAAATTCTTCTCGGACAAGATTAAGCTTCTTTCTCCATGTACCATCGTATCGAACGTTTCCATTGAAATGGAGATAAATGAAACAGGTCGTATAAGAATTTGTTGAATTTTTTTTAAATTTCAACTTTCACAAGTTTTAAATTTTCTAAATCCTTAGATTTGATAATAGATCATTAAGTCTCTTAGAAAGGAGACTTCTTTAAATTTTTATTTAAGGTATCTTTGATCTGAACTTTAGATTAACCCTTTGCCCTATAATATCGAGCCACATTCGTGACGCAATTTCTATTTCAAGCGTGTCGAATTTAGTTGCTACTTTTAGTACGGTTGAATTTTGAGTTTAATTCTAATTCTAATTTGCCCAATCAAGGATCTTTGAATGCCATCTCAATTTTCTTTATTTGTTTTAAAATTCAAGCAACGAAAGTTAGCTCTGATTGTCTGTCCATAGAAAAAATCATAGGAGAAAGGGTTAATAGTGAATTCACAAGAGTTACCTAAGAGAAATTTGTTTTGTCAAACGATTCTAAAAATATCTAATTTCTATTTTTATTTTGCACTCGTAGTTTAGGAACACTATGTTGGACGAGGTGTTCCTAAATTTTCTAATCGTGTTAGAGAGAAACTGTGTTGTACAAGGATTGCCCGTCGTCGCAACGAGAAACATGTTACGTTAGAATCGCGTTAAGCATTCATGTCACTCGCGGAGCGTCATCTAAATGTCAGTGTGCACTTTGAAACTCGTGCGAGAACGGCATCCTCTGGTTTTCGTGTTTCGGCATTCTTTTGGCGGACGCAAGATCGCGGAACAACGCGGCGTTCCGATGCACCTCACGTTCGACGATCGGTTAATGAACGTTATCAGAGATCGGGCAACGCGTTTTGCATCATTCATTAAACCGGCGACTAATCAGTGGGGAGACACGATCTTGGAGTTCTTTGAATTAACTCGCTTACCCTTTCATTTTGTAACATTTGAAACGATATTACGATCGCGTGCTATATTTTTTTATTTTTTTATTTTTAAACAATTTCTTGTCTTCTGTCTACCTTGATCCTCGTCTTGAATATACATGAAAGTTTTTTACCAATGGCACGACAGGTTTTACCAAACCCATGACCATTGGGTTTTTTCATTAGGAAAACACAGGTTATTTTTGTCTCAATGAATTTAAAACGGAGAATAGACAGGTGTGTAAACGTAGAATTTACTTAGGACAGATTCAACTCAAACCGAAGTCGCGGTTGAAACTATCGGACTCGGAAATAGAGTTTACGGCCGATAAATGTAACTGCGACACAGCGACTACAGAATTACACTGTCCAGGATAAATTATAGAGTTATGAACGTCGGTTGTGAACTATTTTACATCGGAAATCGACCTTATTTCCCGATAAAGCCTCCACTTGATGCGCCTTCAATTAGCGATGCATCTAGAGGAATAATGAAAGCTGAAACACTAGCCGGGTACACCTGGAAATTATCGATATTATTCATGATTTATGGGGTAATTAATGTCATTTATTTTATGTTGGTTAAGTATTATCGAATATAAAGTATCTCGATGACTTTTCATGGTACCAGGAGAAAAATGAAAGAATACTTATTATTAATGATCTATCGTCGTAGATTAAATTTTTAATTGAAGATTTATTTTTCAAAATTGATAGTAATTTGAATTATTAAATTAATGGTAATTAGTAGTTTTTGATGCAGTCTTTGATAAATAATACAATAATTAATTGATGTTAATCCTTTTGAAAATGTTCAGACAAGTGTAAGCTAGATAAAATTTTAATTTCATATTGACCGTATTTTACCCAAAAAAGAGAAATTGAAAAATTGCCCTAAACTTTACCGAAGATAATTAATTTCAAGTCAAATCTCTACAATTTATACGAAAGTAATCAGAATAATATGAGAAGCAAATATTAGAAGAATTACTTCCATTCTCGCTAATTAAAAAGATTGCCCCATACCGGAAGAGGTGGCTACCCCAAAGAATGGGGAACTGCGAGAAGGCGAACGAGGGAAATATCCTGTAGGCACACGTCGCTTTTCCTTTCTACCTCGCCCAATCCGATCCCTATCTAGTCTCTTTTTTTTTTCTTTGTGCCAGCTTCTCTCTTATCGTTTCTTCCTGCACGGGTCGTCTGTGGCAGCAACAAAGGGAACGGCGTAGCTCCTAACTCGCGGCATTCCGAAATTGAGATGTGCGAGCTGACGCAGGAGCATCATAAATCTTACCCTCCCTCGTAGGCTGGCATATCTATTCCCTTCCTCGTGCTCTCCCTTTTCCTATAACCTCCTGCCAGCCAGTATCTTTCATTCTCTCTGTCCCTACGATCTCGCGAACTTGAACTTTTCGCCAGTCTACAACCAATAGGTGATTTCTGATCCTTCCAAGCTCGGTTAATCAAAGAGATATACCGTTCTTCAAAACGTAGAAAATATGTATAATTAAACAAAATTATCATTTTGTCCTCCAGGATGTAATAAAGGATTTCTGATTCTTTTTTAAATAGATGTATAAAAGTTGATTTATCTTGGTTCACAATGCAAAGTTATTTGTTTGAATTCAAAGCATCAGTAAAACAGACAAACTTTTATCATTTTAATGAACAGCTGGAAAATTTTCTTCTTTTTCAATCAACAGTGATTCGTATTTATAGTTTTAAATTGAATATCGAACTTTCTTTGGCGAATAAATAATTTAAAATTTACAAATAGTGGTGTATATTCGGTTATATTGTTCATCCGTATTATTTCATCCGTTAAAAATATCAAACAAATATTATTGTTTCGTAGAAAATTTAAATTGATTAAGGAATTTATTTCTATATGATTTTACGTTCGGTAAATGATTTGTGAGCGACACTTGGTTCTGGCTTCAGTTTGAAAAAGAATGGCTGGAAAAGAAAAAGCCCGGAGAGATGCGTAGATCGATGGTTAAATAAATGATGCTCGTCTAGAATAGAAGAAGAGATCGCTCAGCGTCGCGTTGTCATTCGTTTTTCTGTCGTGGAAAAAAACGAGGAGAAGCATCGGGGTTTATAGAGGAAATCCTTAATATCGCCGCTTAACCGATAGGTAGATGCTGTTGATTTAATGCGGGGTGAATTACTACTTGTGTCGGGGTAAAAGCGCACTTCGTTCCTCGGTGTCTTGGAAAATTGATGGCCGCTGTAAAGTTTTTATCGAGGAAACGCCTTTTTTTCCCCTTCCAAATCGATGAAAACGTCCGCTTGTCTTGCCTAATTCCTGCCCATTTGTTTACCCTTTCTTCAATCTATCCTCTAACAAACTTTCCAAAGATCCATAGGAATTTAAAGCCACGACCATGAGCTCCATCATGGGATTACGATAATTAGAAAAATAAGAAATTAAATTTAGTTATGGGATTGTTTCATAATTTATTTAAAAATAAAATATTGCATCTAACAAATTGAAGGGAATAAAATGATAATATTATTAAATGTTTATTAACTTGAAATAATTATGAAATTATATGCAAATTAAGTTTTAAGATGCGTATTAATAATTTTCTAAAGGAAGAGCTATATTGGTTCAATGTTGCTCTTTACTGTGTATAGGAAAAAGCTTAAAGAAGCTGATGGGTTCTAAACTTTTAGTTGAAGCAACTCATCTCCTCTATGGGTGCAATTCGCCTATGTAGTTTCAGTTAAATTGCTAGCTATCTCAGAAGCGCAATCTATGGTGCAAGAGACGAGAATGATGCATTGACTGGCATATGCCTACAATGTATCTGCATACCTATGAATATGAACAACTTCCTGAAGGATTATTAATAGAAATTTGCAGTAGATATTTCACTTGCATAAATTTTCTGGTCTT